CTTTCCCAGAAATTGTAACTAAGGTCTGCTCATCATAGTTGCAGTATAAACCACAAGTTCTGTGGGTGTTGAACAAAAATAAATGTGCCTGAGCAAGCACCTGCAATAGGGATTGGCTAGCCGCCCTAGTAGACGAGTATTCTCGAATACGAGTGGCCAGATATACATAAATGTAACTATGTAAGCATTTCTATATTTATAGGGAATGATTGCTCAGTACCAGTGATAGAGGGTTTGTATATATATCAGGTCATCCCATAAGTTCTGTCCGAATTTTGAATAAAGAAAACAAGTGACCAAATATTACATTTAATTACAGATTCAATCAACAATGTATTTTCCCAGATTATCTATGGCTTCTTTCCATCTATTAACAAGCTTACTAATTCCGTTACTGATCGTCCGGTTCGATCTTCATCTTCAATGGTGAAATCTCCACCTCTGAATTTTGCAAACCATCTTCTGCAAGTTCTTCCATTCACACATTCCTCTCCATAAACTGATTGAATGTTTCTAGCTGCTTCGGCTACTGAGTTTCCTTTCTTGAACTCATAAAGCATTATGTGCCTCAAATTATTCTTGGGTACTTCCATGTAAGCAGGGTTTTAATCAAACAAAATTTAATTTTATTGTTCTCTGAAATAAAATTTGATCAGTTTAAATGCATCTAAACATAAAAATAATGTTCAGCTCCATTAGACATTATAAAATACTCTTTAAATTTCGTTCGTTTTAACAAAAAGGTAAAATTCGGACAGAACTTATGGGATGACCTGATATTACATAGTGTATTCATAGATATCAACAATGTCTGTCTGAAGATCGCTAAAAGCGTGAAATGAGAGCCACCATTAAAATGTTAAATCGTATATCTATTCTCACAAAAACATCTACACAAAAAACGGGGTGCATTTCAAGTGGATACTTGCAGACTCGGGTATACACCGGATCTACACCCTTGTTTGAAACAAAACGAATAATTCGGTTATTATTTACTTTCTTTTCGTATTTTTCCAATGAAACATGACCCAATGCACATGTTAGTACTTTATATGTCCATTCCACGAAGTCGTTCCTTGCAGATTGACGACAGATTCTCGATTGGATTTAAATCGGGAGAGTTTCCGGACCAGTTTGTAGTACTTTGATTTGGTCACTGGTAAGGTTTGCCAGTGTGTTCGTGCAGCGTTATAATTTTCATACGCTTCCTTGGAGTAACTTCCATCGCAGACAATGACCGTAGGACAACTAATTGACAGTCGAGACAATAGTGTCTGGGCGTGATGAAAATCTGATACAATCACGGATGACGTAATATTATTCACGGCCAAACAAATTTAATCATACACCCCGGAAATAGATTCACATTACTGAACACCACTGCAAATTACCTAATCTGCGGAAAAAATAGAAATTGATTACACCTTGTCACTCCAGTGGGTCTAAAACTGACCGTATGGTGAAAGAAAGGAAACTAAAGTGGTTGTTTCAATTAATTTGCACAAGGGTGTGTGTCTGTCTTTTGACTAAAGTGCAAACCAGTTCGGTATCTACCATTTGAATCAAGTGTTAACTTTTTATACTATTATTCACTCGATATAAAGTCCAAGAGCCGTTCAAGTTAGATGATTACTGAATTATTTTGTTGTAAAGGCATACAAAAAAAAGAGTAAGAGGTTCGTATTAGGTAGGATATATAAAGAATCCCTCTAGACATAAAGACGTTAAGAATATAGTCATTGGGAAAACATCCTTTCGGAAAACTGTTTCACAACGTAACAGTTCTATGAAAGACGCTGTCTGAGTGGAACTTTATTCTAAACTAAAGCAGTTGTCTCAATTAACATTCTACCCCAGCGAGCGAAATAAAGGGTTAAGTCCGACATTCCAACCACCTGAAGAAGGCCGAAAACGTTGTGATAAATATGGCAACAGATATGAGGACGATAGTCCGAACAATGTAAATAGTGTACACTGTGATTTCTGATCCTATACGACTTGTATTCAGCATTAGATAACCTATCATGTGTTGCTATGTCGTTAAATTAACCAACCAATCCTATCTTCTCTCTCCATATTATTATGTTGAAGGTTAAGAAGACATTGCTTTCTATAGACAGTAGGAATTTTTTTTTTTTTATCTTTTGGAGGATTATTCATATGAAATCTCGATAGACGTTATATTTGCATTTTCTAGTTTGCTCTCAGGATTGTAATCGGAGACTCCTGCTTGTAACTGGAATGTTAGAACTTTGGGAGAATTGATATTTTGAAAAATGTTAATTTCCAGAAAGTCTCTTATCTAAAACTCCTGGGAAATCGGAACTTTTCGAATTTCAGAAAATGTAGAACAGCTTCCATATACAGAGTCGACAAGACGATTGTTAAGAAATAAAAATGTCTCACTAATATATTTTCTAAATATTCTCAATAACTGAGGTAAATTGACGCTGTGAATAAATAATATATTTTATGTGCAGGGTGATGAATGAAATCATATAAAGATAGACCGCAAATTTATTGTCATCTTTTATATTAGTAAAATTAAACTTCGGTTAAGATATTACGTACCTATCTTCTTCTTCTTCTTCTTCTTCTTCTTCTCCTCCTCCTCCTCCTTCTCATCCTCTTATTCCTCCCCCTCTTCTTCTCCTCCTCCTCTTCCGCCTCTTCTTCTCCTCCTCCTCCTCGTTTTCTTCTTATTATTATTCTTCTTCTCCTCTTCTTCTTCCTTCCCTTCTCCTTCTCCTCCTCTTCCGCCTCTTCTTCTTCCTCTTCTTCTTCTTCTCCTCCCCCTCTCCCTCTTCTTCTTCTTCTCCTTCTCCTCCTCTTCCTCCCCTTCTTCTTCTTCTTCTCCTTCTCCTCCTCTCCCTCATCTTCTTCTTCTTCTTTTCTTCCTCCCCTTCTACTTCTCCTACTCCTCCTCTCCCTCCCCTTCTTCTCCTTCTCCACCTCCTCCTCCACTTCGTTCTCCTCCTCTTCTTCCTCCCCTTCTTCTTCTTCTTAATCTTCTTCTCCGCTTCTTCCGCCTCTTCTTCTTCTGCTCCTCCTCTCCCTCTTCTTCCTCTTCTTCTTCTATGAGCCATATCCCATATCATGAGGTGGACTATTATTGTTCTCCACAACTTCCTATCATTCGTAACTTTAAGCAATTTTTGTCTTTAAACTATCCCCCCCCCAATCCCTTTTCTGACATCTGTTCACAGAAACTATTTAGGTGGGTTACTCATTGCTTTTCTGTCCCTTTTATCTTCAGGTTATCCTGTGAGTGTTCAATTTTCAAAGCACTCTTTTCTTATTATCTGTCCCAGAAAATGCAACTATCTCCTTCTGATTTCATGTATATTAAGCTTTGGTTTCCATTTCCTTTGAGCAGTCACGAATGGGTTTGAGCAGGCACCTGCAACGGGGATTATCTAGCCACCCTAGCAAACTCGGAAACTAGCCACCAGTCATACTATATATATATATATATATATATATATATATATATATATATATATATATATATGTATATATATACAAAAAATTTGAATAATGAGAAAAAGAAAGTGATGTTTCATAGGCGATATTTTTAAATAGAATGGTTCATACACATCTTTGTTCCTCAGCCGTCGAGATGCTTCCGCATCGAAACAAAAATGCATCCTTGTTGTGAGTAATTGTTTTGTCCGTATGTAATAATTTATAATAAATAATTATTGCTCTACTCTTTGTATTGAGGCCTCTTTTAAATTAATGCTATATAAAAGAGGGATTGCTGCCCAAATACACACACACACACACACACACACACATATATATATATATATATATATATATATATATATATATATATATATATATAGTGGTTTACTAAGCGAGGGCATGGGGTACCCAGTGAGGATCGAGCTTACTACTCAATCGCAAATTGATTCCGATCTTCACTACCTTCTCCATTCTTTCGACCTCATTCATATCTAATATTTTGCGGAAACAACTACCGCCTTTTATTTGGCCATTTTAAAGAGATTCTGTCTGTTTGCCATTACGAACATTTGAATTTACAAATTCATGAATCATGAATACTTGAACTAACAACCCGTATCAGATAAGTGCCTTTTATTGATTTTACGTCTTCATATCCCATACGCCTTTAATATTCTCTTGTTTTTGTTATATAAAATTATTTACAAACGTTCAGCTTGTGTTTGTTGTTCGTCGACACCTGTGTCGTGTGTTCCTATCTGAGCGAAGCCATCTTTTCTTTTACTTTTTTCTGAACCTGGGATTCTACATGTTGCAGATTCGTAACAATAGATAGATAGATAGATAGATAGATAGATAGATAGATAGATAGATAGATAATTATTATTATGTGATAGATAGATAGATAGATAGATAGATAGATAGATAGATAGATAGATTGAGAGAGAAAGAAAGACTGATGTGTACATACATATGAATATATGATAATTGAGAGAGTAGCTGTTTCTATATATTAAACAATTTTTCAGGAAAATCGATTTATCAAGTCCACTGTTATCGCTCTTTCTAGTATTTTTAGGATTTTTTTTGTTTAATTGAATAAAGTATATATAAACAAAAACGAAATGTTTTTTGGGGTTTTTTTGGGGTTTTTTTTTTTGCTATCCTTTTGCATTACCTCGCACCAACGCTGCAAGAGCGAGGCTTGTCCTTTAATCGAGACGCAATCCCACCAACCTTCCGAAGGAATGCCATCGAACGATGGCCAATAACCCCAGAGGTCTACACTACCACTGGAGTAAAAAAAAAAAAATGTCTGCAAAAGGAGAAAATTTAAATATTATTTTATTTTATCTCCGCGTCCCGTGCGACAGACCCCGGCTCAACCAATGTACTGGGAAAAGTAAACATCATTAATATGTATTTTATTTCCCCTTCTAGTTACATATGCTACCCGCATTTAAGTTTTGCAGCTGTTGGAAGTCTTCAAGTCATATGATTTTCTTTTTCACTTGGGACTCTGTAGCGCATGTCTATAAGATCTGATCAATGATTGTTATGATAGATAGATAGATAGATAGATAGATAGATAGATAGATAGATAGATATGAGCAAACTGGGATAGATAGACAGTTATAAATAAATTGAGATAGATAAATATGAGCAAACTGAGATAGATAGACAGTTATAAATAAACTGAGATAGATAGATAGATAGATAGATAGATAGATAGATAATCTGCAATATTATCGGTCCTGACCGGGTGTTTAGGTTTCAGTCACTTTCCCATTGCCGTAATATAGCTTCCCTCTGTGCATTTCTATTAATATTTTCATGGTAATTGTTCTGATGAGCTTTTCTCTTTGGTACCTCGACTTTGCGAATTTAAACGCAGTACTAGATTGGCAGCTAGGCCTCATCATTTTACAACTGAAAAACTATTTGTAACCGTAAGTTCTCTGTTAATAGTTTCTTTTCTCGCACTTCTCAATTGTCGAACTTTTTCCGGCTTCTTGCTTTCCAGTCAACATTTATCTTAAATAAATTTAATGCAACGTCAATCGTTATCTTTTGTCTTCTTAATTCCTGTTCATTTATTGTTCTCTCTCTGTCTCATATTCTTTCACATTCAATAAACACTTGAATCTTTGTGACTTTATTGCCTTGATTGGAGGGAAATAATTTATTTTTTTAAATGTAAAACAAACAAAAATAAACAAATATCACAAACAAAAAAAACAAACATTCGTATTCCATTAGAAAGAAGGAAGTCCCATTCGGTCAGTTTCTTCCTTAGAACCTCTATTTCGTCGGAACAGACTCCCGAGAGGATGCTTCCCCGATCGCTACAATCTTAAGCTGTTCAAGTCTACGGTCAACCATTATCTTTCCTATATATCCTTACTAGCAGCATCACCCGGCGTTGCCCGTGATTGATTCAAAATTCCTACGACTCATGCAGCAATCGCTATCACTTGACTTAAAATATTTTTGCCATTCCTTGCCTTTAAAGGAGTGCCCTTTTCCGTGCTGATGTTGCTACATGCCTTACTTCTTGCCTATCTCACACTGCGAATTTTTTCTAAGCTCTATACTAAACATTAAATCTGTTACGAAAAAAGAACTAAACAAAATGAACACAAAACGATCAGCTTTAAAAAAAAGGACTCGTAACAGGAAAATCCGAATGAAAAAAGAATGTTAACAACAAATACTTTTTCACACCCAAACCCAGTTCTGCGGAATCAGAATCAACGTTGAGATTAAGAATGCCAATGAGCCAATTGCAGTAAAGTGCGGTGCAGATTTAAATTTTTCCCACTTGTGACAAATGCAGCTATCGATTTTTTTTTTTTTTGCATGCTAGTTAACATTTTCTGTCAGTCAGCTGTTTGGTCTCACGCTGGCCAATAGAATCTTCCTGACTATTCGTGGCAGCCAGCTATAGGCTCTCACTCTGGCCAGTAGAAAATGGCCGCAAACTACATGAAAACTGCCGTAGAAGCATGAAAAAATCGATTATTTCCACTATCGATGGGAGTTGGGAAATACAAAGTGAGTCTTGGCCTTCCTGCTAACTTGGATCATGTGCATGTAAATTTTAGTGCAAATCCGTCGAAAATTGCGACCGTGCATTCGTTACACACACACACGCATCCTGCCTTTTATAGATAGAGATAATCTGTAACTGTTCCTCTTACATTCATACAACAGACTCATTCAGTAATCTTCTACCTTGTGTGGCTCTTGGGCCTTATATTGGTAAACAATTTTAATGCAATATCAATGGTTATATTTTGTCTTCTCAATACTAATTCATTTATTGTTCTCTCTCCTCAATAATGTTTTTCTTTTTTTCATAATCTTTCAAACTCAATGACCCCTCGCGTTTTAGTGGCTACATTGCTTCGCTTGGGGCGAAATGATTAACAGCAGACAGACAGACAGATAGATAGATAGATAGATAGATAGATAGATATTGTAAAATAAGTTGTTGTTTTTTTATAGTTGTCAAGTCTGTCGTCTATAAAACTCTTTCGGTTATTAAAAATGTAATAAATGGCCGCTGGGAGTCGCGTCAAAACTGAACTAAGAAAAACACGTAAATCTGAGACTGATCAAGCTGCTTTTATTGGATTTGCTAAAAAGAACAAATCAACAGGGAAATCATGCAAGCCGCGGGCGAATACAATCAACTTTATTCATAAAGACATTTACACTACCATTAATTAGGAAGCAGAATATTTTAAAAAAGAAGAATGATTCTCCATATGTACAAGGTGCTTTTCAGAAGATCTGAGACTTTTTTAGGAGAGGCAGTTATATCTGTCCTTGATTATTGCAATTTTAGGATATCATTAGTATATCATCTAATAAGCTGACCTGCCAACTTTTGTTATCCCAAATTGAAGGAGACGGCTGTAACAACTCTTTAAAAACACCCTACTAAACACTGCTTGTCCCAATTGACTAGTTTACAATATGGAGTCGGTACGTGAAGACAGTTTGGAAGCTTACAATGCAATAAAACTTTGTGTTGACAATATATTTTTGCCATCTCGGTCATGAAAACTGTCCCTCCCTACAACCCAGACCTTGTTCCCAGTGACATTTCCCAAGCTGAACGAGAACTTCAGGGGAAGTCCTTTTGAAGACACTGAGATGAAGAAGGTGGCTGTGACAAGGGTTCTAGGCACATTTACTTTAGATGGCTTCCATTGAGACTTCACAAAGTGTCTGGATGGTTAGAAGTACACTGAAACCAACGACTTCCGAGCGGCTGGAGGGCTACAGCAATTGCATTGAAATCAGAGGATCCTACCTTAAAAAAGATTACAGTTTTGTACTTCTTTGAAATTAATAATTGTCTCTCCTGGAAAAACATCTCAAGACTTCTAGATTGCACCGTGTGTGTGTGTGTGTGTGTGTATTTTGAAGACACTGAGATGAAGTAGGATGCTGTGACAAGGGTTCTGGACACATTTACTTTAGATGGCTTCCATTGGGCCTTCACGGGGTGGCTGGGTGGTTACAAGTATATTGAAATCAGCGGATCCTACTTTAAAGGGGATTAGAGTTTTGTACTTTTTTGAGATTAACGAATGTTTCTCCTGAAAAAATCTCAAAACTTCTGGAAGGCACATCATATAATACTGTTGTATCCTTAAAAGAGGTTTACAAACAGACAAACGTGGTACTTGAGTGAAAGGAACAGCAACACAGGCGTAGATGAAAGAAATAGAGGTTTATTGTAAAAGAGAATACACTACTGAAAGACAGGGAATCGGTTAGCAGGCTAGTAATTCCCGAAGCAAGGATATCTACCAACGGTCAGATGTGTCACAAGGCCGAATTTAACGTGGGGTATCCGAGCCAATATGCTCGGCCAAAAATTCCCCATATAAAACGGGGTCGGCTAGCTGTTTCCCGAGAAGAGTCTCTGCCCTTCGATATAGCCTCGTCTGGGAATCATCTCCGCCCGGAAGCAGAGACTATGACCAGCAGAGCTGGAAACGAATCTCTAACTAATTGCCGTAGCAAGGTTATATACCTTACCTCCTTGCGAGGCAGGATGTGGAACAAGTCCGTTTTTAATGCGGGGTAAAACCAAGCCCGCAATCAGAGAGTTCGATCAGCACAGCTGGAGACGAATCTCCAACTAATTGCTGAAGCAAGGATATTTGTCAACCGCCCCACGCGGTCAGATGTGGCACAAAGCCGAATTTAATGTGGGGTATCCGAGCCCGTAGGTTCGAACAAAAATTCCCTGTAGACCCCGTAAAAAACGGGGTCGGGTAACTGTCTACCACCCCAGACGGGACTCTTCACTTCGGCATAGCCTTGTCTGGGTTCCTCTCCGCGTGATGGCAGGGAGTTCGACCAGCTTAGCTGGAGACGAATCTCCAACTAATTGCCGAAGCAAGATTATTTACCTTACCTCCCCGCGAGGCAGCATGTGGCACAAGGCCGTTTTTTAATGTGGGGTAAATCCGAGACCGCAGGCTTGGGCAAAAAATCCCCGTAGACCCCGCATACACTGGGTCGGGTAGCTGTCTACCACCTCAGACGAGACTCTGCCCTTTGGAAAAGCCTCGTCTGGGTTCCTCTCCGCCCGAAGGCAGAGAGTTCGACCAGCAAAGCCGGAGACGAATCTCCAACTAATTGGCGAAGCAAGGTTATTTATCTTACCTCCCCGCATAGCCTCGTCTGGGTTCCTATCCGCCCGAAGGCAGAGTTCGACTAGCACAGCTGGAGATGAATCTCCAACAAATTGCCGAGGCAAGTCTCAGGTAGATCCTGTGCACACCGTATATAACTATTGATATAGTCAGTCCAGAATATACAATAAGGAGTGTGGGACATTCCATTACAACAAATACCATCTTTCAATGTTGCATAAGAAAATGAGGATGGTAACAACAATCATATCGTATGGATAAGAATACATATCGGAATTACGATAACAGGAATAATTATAAGGATATTCTAATAATATAATCACTATACAAATAAATAAATAAATAATAATAATAATAATAAATGCAATAGACCAGACACAGAAACGATGACAAGATAAGCCTTTTTATGGTCAATATTCTATCCGTATTTGGTTTAGACAAATCCGGTACCAATCATTGGTTACGTAGTGCATGGTTAAAAGCTGAAACCGGTTTTATTCTTGTTGCACAGGACCAGTGCTTGCTAACTAAAAATTACCAATCACACATGCTGAAAAATTGTGTTCGCCCCAAAATGCAGATTCTGTAATAAATATCCCAAAACAACTGATCATCTTCTATCGGGTTGCACAATATTGGAACCTGCTGAGCATAAAACCCGGCATGACATCTGAGTTGGAAAATCTGTAACATTTACGGAAAGGAAACTGCAAGAAATTGCTATGAGCACCACCCAGACCCGCTTACTGAGATAGGAGCTGTAACAATTGTATGGGACTTTAAAATAAACACAGACATAAACAATCAAAGCTAATCGCCCAGAGATCGCAAAGACAAAATGCGCTCCTTTATTGAGAGAGCAGGCCCTGCAGACTGTAATGTATCTTTGATGATCTTCAAAAAAACAATCAAAATACAAGGACCTTAACATAGAAATCGTAAAAATGTGACAGATGAAGACATTAACAATTCCACTTGTAGTTGGAACCCTCGGTTTTCTTGGAAAAGATTCCGGTGAACTCATTGAAGTGATTCTTGTTAGCCAAAGCCTTAAAAAAATACAAAAAATTGTACTCACAAGTACTGTTTACACCTTACGAAGAGCTTTATCTATGTAAAATGTGTGTGATCTTGGGTATGTGTTATTTTTTTCCCAAAAAATGCTCAGTGGAATATGTCATGAAGCCATTTCTGGTCTTAGGTCACTGGTTGGGACCCGGAAAGAAATAAGTATTGTTACATTCTTCCTAAAACCAGATCTTCCGATTCATGCTACACCTAATTTCCACTACTGGCCGGATGTGAACATTCTGAACACCCAAAACTGAACTAAAATTCTATCAAGTGCGCAAGGTTCCGCACATACCTTCCGTTTTTACTGACACACGCAAAGAAAAAATAAGCAATACAGTTCAGAATTTTCACCCAATAGCACCCACTTCCGCCTAAAGAAGAAAAAAAAACAGAACCGATTTGAGCCTAAGAAATGACATAAAAGCCCATCAAAAGAACATTTTCGGCAGTTGGACGGCATCTTGGCGTTGTTTCGTCGGAAAGCGACCTTCCATCACCAACAGACGGCACACCAAAGGCCGTCGTCCCAGTAAGTCTATCTTATCCTCACTCTCCTTCCATAGGCCTCATCCGATGCTTTTTACAACTCCACTTATGTCTTTTTTCAACGAGAGACATCTACACCGATCTATCATTTCTTTTATTTTACGTTAATACAATTGTTTATTTATTTAAATCTTCATTGTTTCTTCTTTCTTCGGTCACTATACGCTTATCATAAAAGTATACACAAGAAATCAAAAGAAATAAAATAAAAATCATAATAATAATAAAACTACTGCAAACTGGTATAAATACCATCTTCTGGAGACTGGTTTGAACATCATCCTGAATCTATAGTTGAGTGAATAGATGCTAACATCTTCTGGGATTTTTCTATGAACACAGATCGAACAATACAAGTACACATTTGCTATACAAGCAAATCGACTAGACATCAAAGACAGAAAGGAAAACGTTTACACATTGATTGATATGCGCGTGCCAAGTAACAAAAACTTCTCTGCTAAAGTTTTTGAAAAACTAAATAATTACAAAGACCTAGGGATGAAAATAGAAAAAATGTAGCTCTTAAAAACTGTTTCTGTTGCTTTTGGAGCTTTGGGTCTAATAAAGAAAGGAACTCAACAACAAATCAACAAAATCACTGGTGCATCATTTCTCCAGCCAGTGAAGAACTTTGTTCGTTTAGGATTTTTTTTTAACATCTCTCTTTTTTTAAATAAGCGGAGACAATAAAATATCGCATCCTTGCCTTTAGTTATTTATTATATACCCGACATGTTATTATTAACCCGACATGTCATTATTATTATATACCCGACATGTCATTATTAACCCGACATGTCATTATATACCCGACATGTCATTATTAACCCGACATGTCATTATATACCTGACATGACATTATTAACCCGATATGTCATTATTAAACAAATGCAGGACAAAAATAAATTTTTATAATAATAATTAAGATGAGAATATTATTAATGTTCGCCGTGATACTTTAGCCTACCCCGAGTTGTAGATGAGAAAAATGTGGATCGTAATGAATAGGCCCGTATCCATAATATATGGTACATTAGGAACTGTTTCCAAATACCAAGATTAGATGAATTGGAAATTTAAGAAAGAATTGGAAAGATCTAAATACTCCCGAGCAAACTCCAAAGCCAAAGTAAAAAGATCCATGGAAACAGATGGGTAAAAATTCACGATAACAAATTGGATAAATGAACAATTTCTTTTATCGCCAGAATTCTGAGAATGGTTTTGTTGATGTAGAAAAGTGAAGAAATAATAGAAACCATAGTCATTTGTTGTGACAGAAAACGATGAAGCTACTATTCTATAAGAAGAAGCCAATCCAAACGAATAATAAATCAGATACAAGAAAGAAAAAAAAAACTCAATATTGGATCATCGACATGTCTGTCCCCTTCCGAAAGAACAAACTCGTTTAAAACTACAGAAACACTCCTGAAATATAAAGATCTAGAAATATAAATTGAAAGAACGTAGAGCATGAAGACCACAGCAATACCAGTTGTAATAGGAGCACTCTGATCAAGAAACGGGTGGTAAAATACAAAAAAAAAATCCCTCACAACGTCAAAATATACGATGTCCAGAAGATTAACCTTCTCAGTACTGTTCAAATAAATACATCACTTTCACATGGTAGCCTCAATGAACAAAGCTGTACATTAAGGGAAATCTATAAATAATAATAATAATAATAATAATAAATTTTCGACGGGTTTCGTTAGTGGAATGGTTAAGTCTTTTTTTTTTTTCGAACGGTGCGCAGGATTGGGTATCTGAGCTTTGGTAAAAGTCCGGGTTTCAAAAGCTGAGGTAAAGACAGAAAGGACATTTCCGTTGGAAGAGAATCAATATACAACGTATTCCTCCAAATAAGGATTGCTATCTAAGAAAGTATTGTAAATATCTATGGCGTAAATTGGGATTCACGAGAACAACTATGATTTTGTTATTGTTAATAATAATAATAATAATAATAATAACAAGAAGCACATACTGAAAAAAAGGGTTAGCCCACAATGCAGATTCTGTGATAAATATCAAGAAACAATTGACCATCTTGTATCAGATTGCACGGTACTGGCATCCACTGAATACAAATTCCGTCATTATAGAGTCGGCAAATATATGAGTTAGAAAATCTTCAACTTTTACAGAAAGGTAACTGCAAGAACACCACCCAGTTACAGAGATAGGATCTGTAAGAATTTTATGGGACTTTAAAATACACACAGACAGAACAAACAAAGCTAATCACCCATACGTCATGATCAAAGACCACAAAAACAGAATGTACATTCTTATTGACATAGCAGACCTTATAGACTGTAATGTGTCTTTGAAGATCTTCAAAAAATATCAAAATACATGGACCTTGAAATTGAAATCTCAAAAATGTGTCAGATGATTACATCAACAATTCCAGTTTTAGTTGGTTTGACTGGAAAAGGTTCCAAAAAAACTCAATGAAGTGATTCCTGATTGTCCAAGCCTTAAAGAAATACAAAAAATTGTACTCACAAATATAACTCACACATTACGAATGGTTTTATCTGTGTAAAATGTGTGAGATCTTAGGCTTTGTTTGTTTTTGTTGTTGTTGTTTTGGCTTATTTTCCTAAAAAATGCTCAATTGATAATGTCATGATGCCATTTCTGATCTTAGGTCTCTGGTTGGGACCCAAAAAGGAAATAAATTATTATTATTATTAATAATAATAATAATAATAATAATAATAATAATAATAGGTTAACTAGGAATTATAAGTTAACTGGGAATTATCAGTTAAATAAGTTAACTAGGAATTATCAAGCACACATACTAAAATATTGTGTTACCCCAAAATGCAGATTCTGTGATAAATATCCAGAAACGATTGATCATCTTGTATCAGGTTGCACGATATTGGCACCCACTGAATATAAAACCCGGCATGACAGAGTGGGCCAATATCTGCACTGGAAAATTTGCAACTTCTACGGGAAGGAAACTGAAAGAAACTGGTATGAACACCAACCAGACCCGGTTACGGAGATAGGACCTGTTACAATTCTATGGGACTACACAATACACATTGACAGAACAATCAAAGCCAACCGCCCAAATATTGTCATTAAAGACCACAAACAAAAACGGTGCCTCCTTATTGATATGGCAGTTCCTGCAGACTGCAATGTATCTTTGAAGATATTCAAAAAGCTGTCAAAATAAAAGGACCTTGAAATAGAAATGTGGCACATGGGAACATCAACAATCCCTGTTGTAGTTGGAGCCCTAGGATTGGTTGGAAAAGATTCCAGTAGACTAATTGAAGAGATTCCTGGAAGCCCATGCCTCAAAGAAATACAAAAAATTGTTCTCACAAGTACAGCCCACACTTTACCTTTATCTATGTAATTTTTTTTCTCTCAGTGGAAAGTGTCATAATGCCATTTCTAACTTTAGGTTCCTAGGGCGGAACCCGGAAAGAAATGTGTAAACGCCAGAAATCAAAGGAAATAATAATAATAATAATAATAATAATAATAATAATAATAATAATAATAATACGTATGTTTGGATTGTCATGGTAATCTACTAATAAAGACTACATTTTGACCACAAAGAGCAGTTAAGAATCTATACTAATAAATGAAATGCGTAAAAATCATTTGGGACTTCGAGATTCACGCAGATCTCTTACTCCAGGCAAGAAGGAAACATATCAGAGTTTGGATTTCGTTTTTCCTGCAAATCAAGAACGATCTAAAAGGAATGAAATGATATTTATGTCGATACTGAGTGAGACATGAATAAAATTGCGAAACATGAATGCAAAATACCTAACATTAATGTCTTTAGTAATACGCTTGTACATATATAATGGTGGGTGTTTAAAGCCGAAAAAAAGTGTGCGACACATAGAGGGGGGCATATTTGATAAAGGTAGTCGTTTATAACGAGGGCTTAAATTTCGTGATCTAACGACCAGTTTGCTGACAAATTCGCGTCTGAATAGCAAGTTACCTTTTGAAATAAGAATCTTTTTCAATCTTATCTTCGCGAACTTGTTAGAGACTTAGGAACCCAGGCAGTATTTAGCGTCCAAGAAGGAATTAGAAAGAGAGTGGGACATAGAGAGTAAAACAAAAAGAGAAATAAAGAGGTAGTGTGTCAAAAAGAGATTACAACACAGAGAGATTGATGAGATGTCATATTAGATAACGACTGTTGTTTGTAGTGAGGAGTTAAATCATGATTCTTTACCTAACGATCTGTTGTGGTCATTTTAGTATTTTTAAGAGAGACTATATCAGTTACTAGCAGCATAGCCCGGCGTTGCCCGTGATTGATTCAAAAATCGTACGACTCATACAGCAATCGCTATCACTTGACTTAAAATATTTTTGCCCTTCTTGCCTTTAAAGGAGTGCCCTTTGCCGTGCTGATGTTGCTACATGCCTTACTTCTTGCCTATCTCACACTGCAAATTTTTTCTAAGCTCTATACTAAACATTAAATCTGTTACGAAAAAAGAACTAAACAAAATGAACACAAAATGATCAGCTTTAAAAAAGGACTAGTAACTGGAAAAACCGAATGAAAAAAGAATGTTAACAACAAATACTTTTTTACACCCAACCCAGTTCTGCGGAATCAGAATCAACGTTGAGTTTAAGCAAGCGAATGATCCAATTGGAGTAAAGTGCCAAGCAGATTTAAATTTTTCCCACTTGTGACGAATGCAGATTTCATTTTTTTTTTTTTTTTTGCATGCTAGCATGCTAGTTAACATTTGTGTCAGTCAGCTGTTGGCTCTCACGCTGGCCAATAGAATCTTCCTGACTATTCGTGGTAGCCAGCTATTGGCTCTCACTCTGGCCAGTAGAAAATGGCCGCAAACTACATGAAAACTGCCGTAGAAGCATGAAAAAATCGATTATTTCCACTATCGATGGGAGTTGGGAAATGCAAAGTGGGTCTTGCCCTTCCTGCTAACTTGGATCATGTGCATGTAAATTTTGGTGCAAATCCGTCGAAAATTGCGGCCGTGCATTCGTTACACACACACACACACACAGACACACACATCCTGCCTTTTATAGATAGAGATTTTATAACTATCTGGAAATGGTCATGGGTCGAAAAGTACAGATTGCATGTATTAATAATGCGTGTCATTTACACGAGTCTTGTTTGTAATAATAAATACCCAGATACTACACCAGGCATGCCCATTGTGGGCTTTTTTTTATCCTAATTTTTTGGCGGTTTTAGTCTGTATTTGGTGAAAGGGAGATGATAAATTCAACAGCTCGTTTTATCGACACCGACTAAGATCAGACTAAAAAAAAATAGAGTATTTTTACTATATCTTGGCTGGAGCTGCACAATCCTCCTTTTCCAGACTTAGAGTTCAGAATCGTTTACATGGCAATGTGGGTAATTAATTACTTTTAACTTCACAACGCCTTTTCGCACAGACAAAATTTTGCAAGCTCTCTCTTCTGTATTGCTTATTTCAATGGCAAAAGATCTGACGAGCTGCATTCCTCGATTCCATCTCGCTTATAGACACATCTCGTTGAAACACCAGTACCCGTACGATCACCGAAGTTACGCAACGTCGAGCATGATCAGTACCCTGATGGGTGACTGCTTGGGAATACCAAGTGTTGTAAGCTTGGGGTGTGAGTGACGTAATGGATAATACCTCGGAATTATTAATCGGAGAGCCGAGTTCAAATTCCAGTTGGGTTCGTTATATTCGGTTACGCGCAAATACTCGTGGGAAAAGTATGATGCCATCTCTTAATTAGCCAATTAGAAATGCATCACAAAATCATTATTATCTGCCCCCCCCCAATAAAAACATTCTTCAAGTCTAAAAAATATTATCAGGCTTTAAATAACCTACAAAGGGTTGATAAACCATAGAAAATGAATCAATGAATTCTACTTTCAGACTTTTAAATCTAAGACCGTCATGCTATGTCCCCAGAATCAAATCATCCTCATTCTCTTCATATCTCATTGATAAAAAGTCCCACACAGAGAGCTTTTTTCCCCGAGAACCGCTTTGTGGGACAGGCTCCCGAGAGAATACTTCCCTGATCAATACAAAGAATCTCTCCAAGACTAGGGTCAACAGTTATATATCATACACATCCTCTTAATCGGCATTTACTTCCTCCTCTTGCGTCCATACGACAGCCTCTTTCTTTAACCCTCTATCCGGAGTAGATCATGTGACTTGGCATTGGGTGAATATTTAGAAGAGGTCAGGCGGGAAGCTACTTTCTCAGGTTTTTCGAACGTAGAAACTTTAAGCTGAAACATTGATTTTATTTTATTTTTTTATATATGATCCAAGTATCTAGGGCAGATTGCAATTTTAGCGTGATGGGTCCGATTCTATTAGAACCGGATGAGCATTAAGTCGATGTGTAATCCGAAATTAATCCGCTGGAAAAACGATCGTCTTAGTTTAAACGTTTGGTATGGAATCTTGATCCGCATCCAAGGCAAGCAATCAGGCAGGTCCGCCGCCGTAACTTTTTTTTTTATTCTTAATCTTATAAAATTCAGGTCATTTCAAATCGGCAGACGGTTTGGTTATTTTCTGAAGCTTCTATTGAAGTTTAGTCTATATTCTAGTGACCTGAGAAGAACGTAGCTGCTGTGAAATTCATTTGAGAATAGTTGGCTTTCTATCCGGACATTGATCGTCGCTACTGGGGGGGGGGGGCTGAGATCAATGTCCCAAGTAAATCAGACCGTAAAAAGCAAGGGTAGCAGTAGTGTCATGACAGGAAGGGGTTATGGGGAAAGCGAAGGAGTGGATTTCTCTAAATAAATGCAAATTAAATGACGGAGATGGAAAAGATAAAGTATAAGACAGTGAACAAAAATGATGATGATGATGATGATGATGGTTGTGGGGGTGCTGTTGATAAAAGAGGAGAACAAGTAATAGATGACGAAGAAGAGGAAGAGAAAACGACAATGAATGAAAATAAGAAAATGATCATAATCATGAAAGAGAAGATATGGACGACAACGAAGAAGAAGAAGAAAATGATGATGATGATGATGATTATGATGATGATGATGATGATGATGATGATGATGATGATGATGATGATGATACGACAATAAGATCATGATTATGATAATGATGATGATGAAAGAAGAAGAAGAAGAAGAAGAAGAAGAAGAAGAAGAAGAAGAAGAAAATGATGATGATGGTGTTGTGTATGATGGCACGACATGGATGAGGAGGAGGAGGAGGAGAAGGGGTAGGATAATGATGATGATGAATGAGGCGGAGAAGACATCATCCCATTTGAGTTGATAAATTTTCTCAATTGTGCGGACCATTAGACGAAATAAATACTATTTAAAATAAACGGAACGTCTACTCAAATACGGGTATCCACTAAAAATAACGTTTGAAGTATGAAAAATATGTCGGATTAAAATATAAAATTCATTAATCATTTAGAAATATATATTTTGTATTGTTTTACGCGAGAGGTTAGCACCCTACTCTCACACTTGGAATTAAAATGTATACATTTTGTCAGGAAGACCAGCTGATATTAGCGTCTATCCTTATTTAATTTCAATAAAAAATAAATTGAATAACATATGTATTTTTTCTTTTCTCCTCAGTAATTTTATAATTTTAAACTTAATAGAGATTAAATTTAGATTTTAAAATTGATAATTTTTTACTTTCAATTTTGATATCAAATTTTATCATATAATTTAATACTTATTGGTTAGAATAAATTCTATTTTAGTATAACCCCAACTTTAAAGCTCTTAATAGCTGTTATAAGCTTACTTCGTTGTCAAGTTTTTTGAATTCTCGTATACTTGCGTTTTGATTGGTCACTCTAGCTTATGTAACAGCGTTTTCCCCTTGCGAAGGATCGTTATTTAATTTGAAACTTTTTTAAACCATTTATTCTACATTCAACATCATCACTTGATATGACACCGGAGGTGTAGAAACAAAATGGCTATTTTTGTAGTGATTTTATAACATATTTATGCTATAATTTTTAAATAAATAATCATATATATATATTATATATATATATATATATATATATATATACTAGCTTAAAAGACACCATATCGGGCGGCATTTAAGCTAGCTCCAGCAGAGGGCACTTGATTGGGCCTTCATCGCAATAATTAGGGAGGAGTAGATGCGATAGGCAAGAATAAACTACTGAAGAACTCAAAATTGATCGCTGCATTTAAATATTGCATTAATATTTAAGCTTACCTTTTAAAAGGTCAACGATAATTCTTCTGCCACCACATAATTTAAAGACAATTTGGTGTACGTAGGTCCTTACTTTCCGTACAAACAATTATTTTCATTTTGTGGAGAACTTTCGCTGGATTTCACAATTAATTTCGATTATTCCCAAATTTATTTCCAAGTTATAAAAAATGTTATCGTACAAAAACTTTAGTCGCAAATAATCAAGTAAAAACATCGCCGAAAATAATCGCAGTAATGAAAACTTGGGAAACCAAAATTTCAGGATTGCGGCTCCGGATGCTTTTACTTTGCTCACGGATTCGGCCTGATTCCAAAATGGTATGAAATGTTGGACTTACGGCCTCTAGGAATTAAGTTGAAAAAGTGAGACGTGTGTGCATACGTGTGTGTGTACGTGTGTGTGTGTGTGTGTTTGTGTGTGTGTGTGCGTGCGTGTGTGAGCGTGTGAGCGTGTGAGCGTGTGCATGTGTGTGCGTGCGTGTAATTTTTAAAGAATTAATGTGTTTATTTTTAATTCGATAGTTTTATGCAAATGTTATTTTTAATCGAGTTTGAATAGACGCTGCTTTTTTAAAACAGTTTATATTACGTCTACCGGCCTGTGCACTCAAGAAAATTTAATAAAGGCGTGCTCTCCTGGTTGATTCGAATTTGCGTCCCCTTTTCTAGGCGGATCCACTGTCTGATCCGACCCGTTCGGCCACAGAGCGCGTCATATCCCAGCCAGGTTCTGTTTACCCTTTTTTGGGAATGCACATTGCATATCACCTCGTTCTAGGTTTTCTCGAAAGCCCATATCTCCGTGTTCCTATACGGACAAAGCAGATAGATAGATAGATAGATAGATAGATAGATAGATAGATAGATAGATAGATAGATAGATTGGACTGTAATGCATAGATAGATAGATAGGACTGTAATGCATAGATAGATAGATAGATAGATAGATAGATAGATAGATAGATAGATGCTAGCAACATTTTGCATGAAAGGAGTTGTAAGGCATGAAACCCATAAGACCCTTTAAAATGTTTTTTTAAACTCGGTCGAGACAGTAAAATGAGCATTGGGCAGCTCCAGCCCAGCTGGGGCATCAATACTCCATTTTTGGTCTGGCTCTTGTAAAAATAGAGCATGATAAAAAGTGTAAAAGTACTTTCTGGAGCTGTATAAGGAACCAACCGTTTTTACATCATCTTTAGCGATGGATCAGATGTACAAGTTCCACTTGAGATCTGGAGTGAGCTTGAGTCCAACAGGCGAGGAGCCTCATTTAGAATACAACAGTTCATCATGAGTGGAGACAATTCGGGCTCTTCTCTATGATGATGAAATGGTATTAGTTTGCTTTTGGTGGTACTGAATATGAAGAACTATATATGAACTGACCAAATCTTCAAAAAGGCGAGTGTGACTATTGCTGGAGAAATAAACAGGTTGATTATCATATTATACTATGGGATCCGAATTATGTGAAAATTTCAAGAATTAGACCAGGAAGAACCTTCACCGATCAACTCATTGACGGAATTCAATTAGCATTTAAATATTAATCTAAAATAAATGCTATTTTCTTTATGAGGATGCGAGCTTATCTACGCAGTGTGTATTTTCATAGACTAGAATTTTTTGCCACACATTGATGCGCATTGAAAGCCTATCAGTATTTTAACATTGCTGAAGTTATCGCTAATAATTTTTGTTACGATTTATAAACCAATCAATGAAATATAAAAACCTAAATGAAAAGATAGGCAAAAACAAGATATTTTTAGTAAATTTTTATTTTGTTATTTTAATCATTAAATTGTTTTGTTTTGTTTTGTTTTTAAAATAGTGGGGGTTATTTTGTATGTTAAATAATAAAACATTTAATTTTTCACAAAAAATAATTAAAATTTATTGTACTAAGCTACGCACCCTAGTAAAACCAATTGTACTTTGTATCCCCTTATTTGTTTTCACTTCTCCCCAAAATTTGAATTTGATCGGTCAATGTATGGCTATTTTAGATCTGTTTTGTAATGCCTGTTTGTAGAAGGGACTTTGTAAATCACAGATACAATAATAGATAATTTATATAAAAAAAAACTTTTACGTGTGCGTGTGTGCGTGTGTCCCTGTGCTGAAACATTCTCACGCCGATCAACGAAATCTGACCAAATATAAGAATTCCTGGTCAGGCTCCGTACTTTTCAACAAACCCTAACAATTACCACCCGTCAGAAATATTGATGCACGAGGAATATATTGTAAACCAATGAAAAGATTTCGAGCAGCTGTAAACGAAAATTGTATTTTTCAAATTGAAAGGATTCTGTTTTATTCAATTTATTTATTATATGGAAATCGTTTTACAAATAAGATTTTTTGTTTGAATAACAATGTAGAAATGTTTACTGCTGTCCTGCTCGCTGCAGAGAACTGCAGTTGTCAACTTTTATGATTTCAACAAACAAAAGAGCTTCAGTATAATAAAAAGAGAATATTTATGGGTTTTTTGTTGTTGTTTTTTTTTGGGGGGGGTCATATTCTATCCCTTGCTTTTAAACCTTAAGGCTTTAAAAAAAGAAAAATATTGTTTCTTCTCATGGAAAATCTACTCCCCCGAGTTCAGTGTACACTGCAAGTTAAAAATAAATGAATACCCAAATAGAAGCTCTATATTCTTTTTTCTTTTCTTTTTTCTTTATTCATTTCTTTTTCTTTTTCTTTTTCCTTCTTCTTGATTTTTCTTTTCTTCTTTTTTCTTTTTGATTTTTTTCTAATTTTTCTTTTTTTCCTTTTTCTTTTTCTTATTCTTTTTCTTTTTTCTTTTTCTTTCTCTTTTCTTTTCTTTGTTTTTTTCTTTCTTTTTTTCTTTTTCTTTTATTCGTTTTCTTTTTCTTTTTTTTTGCCTTTTTTCTTTTCTATGTCGTGAGCGGGAAAGTGGATACGATTGACGTTAATAAATTTTGGCTATTTTTATCATACATTTCCTCAACTACGGTTTCTCCCATTCATCGCACGCGCGTGCACGGGCGCGCACATACGCACATGCATGCACACACACACGCACACAGAAACACACACAAACACATACACGCAAATTAACTGAAGTGAGGTTTCTTCCCTTTCATTCATCGCAGGCACACACGCACAATCAAGAACACACACACACACAAAAAGGATTGCAAAACTGCATGAAACTCTCACTCGTGCTATCGAAGTTGTATATTATGTATATCTTACTTATTATAAAACGCAGATTGTGTGTGTGTGTGTGTGTGTCTGTACGTTTATATATTGGATCGGATTTCCTACATTTTTCAACCGATTTCAACAAAACTTCACAGGACTACGTAAAATTACTTTGTGGTGGTTCTGACATCGCCAAAAATTGGAAAAACAATTGTTTTTGCACGAAATCAATTTGAAAACACGATTAAGAGGCATTAATGAAAGGGGGACACCTCATATCAAGTTATACTTATTAATATCGAGTTATACTTATTATAAGACCCAGGTTGGTTGTTTGTTTTTGTGTGTGTGTGTGTGTGTGTGTGTGTGTGTGTGTGTGTGTGTGTGTGTGTGTGTGTGTGTGTGTGTGTTCGTTTATATATGGGATCGGATTTCCTACATTTTTCAACTGATTTCAACAAAATTTCACTTATTTTTTTTTTTGGCAGGTAGTGTTTCTTATTGTCTTGCACACTTTTTTCTTTATTTTTACATTCAGAATGCTTTAAAAATTCC